AGCTATCATTTGTATTAGATTTATGTGTATTTGATTTATTATCGTATTTTTTTATTTTTACCCTCACTTGAGGGAGTAGTTGCTTGTGACCCTTAGGGGCACTTTTGTCTTTCGTCTTGCTATTGTATTTTGGCTATTTAAAGCCCCCTCTTCCTTTTGAGTGGACAAAGAATATTATTAAGAAAAATTTCTGCAATTGTGTTTTGAGAGCTTAGAGAGTTCTTGTGAGAGGTTGAAGTCCCTAAGAGGGGGCAACGTATTACCCACCAGCCATAGAAAGCATTCGACCACATCGTCCACCTCCTTCACCCTCTCCCTCCCCTTTCTTCTCCCCAAACTATCGGCCCCATCTTCTTGTCCCTCTCGGCCAAAACCCCACCACCTCAAAACCCTAAGCCGACTCCCCTTACCTCTCATCTCCCTTGGTCGAACCTCACCCTGCACCCTAGGCCGCCTCAACCAACCACCGGCCACCATCTCCCCTCTCCAAGCCGCCGACCTTATTCCCCACTCCCATTCCCAAAGCCGTCGGCCCCAATCCCTTCGTTTGGATTCAAGTTTCCAAACCAAGCATTCAAACACTTTCATAATTTAATCCTTTTTAAATTTGGAATTCTATTTTAATTCAAATTCAAATGAATTTGAATTTGAAAGTATTTCTTAAAATAGGTAAGTTATTTTAGGAAAGTTCCCCACATCATGCTAACTGGGATTTTAAATAGGATTTAATTAAATCTCCTTTCCTATTTTACAATTCCAAATCTAGCAATCCACAACTCCTCCCATTAAATCCTCCCCCTAAGTCTAGCCGCCGGCGCACCCCTCTCTCCTTCAATTCTCTCTTTCTCATTAATGCTCTCAATCAAATCCCCTCCCATAAGGGTGTGCCGTCCCTCCCTATCCCTAATTAATGGAGATTCAAATTTAAACTTTTCCCTTCTCTCCAATCATTAAAATCTGAAATTAAATTTCAGATTTTGAATTATCTTCCTTCCTTTATCAACACACATAATCCGGAGCTACTTTCCCTATCTTTCCCCTATGGCCGGCCCCCACTACCTTCCCCTCTCTACTTGGAAGTAGTCCTTCTAATTCCCTTCCACCGAACCTCGATTCAGGAGAATTTCCACCTCCCAAACCGCTGTCCAGATTTCCTGGACATATAAAAACTGTTGTCCAGCAAAGGTTGTTTGTTGTCCCGTCGTCCATAAGTCCTTTGTTTGTTGTCCAGAAGTTCCCCCAACCCATGTTGTCCCCTCATGTATGGCTAATCCAGAAAATGATTAAGGGCTAATTGACATCCTCCAGTCTTCGTTCTTCAACATAGACCTTGAGAACGACCACTCAGTCGAAGAATACGTGGAACAAATCCTCTTCTCCCTTGCAACTTCTATTGATCAAATGACAACCTCTCGTTCAGTAGCAACTTTCTTCTGAATCTTGACAAAGGTTAACTCTCTCCGGAATCGTATTTCCCTCTCAATTGTGGCATTACAATGATTATGCAAGTTTTCTCTGCTTAATCAGTTATTAAGAGTGAGAGTGAGGAATCTTAAATAGTGACTATTCTAAATGTTAATTAAGGGATTTCTTTTGAAAACCTCACATTAAGCAAAATTTGATTTGAATGTTTATTTTGTGCTCCAGATATTTATCATGTATTATATTGCTTGAACTAAATCATTGCTTTAGTATTTTCATTTATCGTTTAAATCGTTAGAAGTGACTAATTGCTCTTGCTCTCTCAAAAGCGTATAATTTCAAAAGTAAAACATCAACAAACACATTTGGTCGTACATCATGAAGTATGAGGCATTATCATGATAAGCATTTTAACATGATCATGGGAGCATGTAGCCTCCATGAAATGCCCATCCACCACTAATAATGGAGGAAGACACCTATTACCACTGCATGGTAAAATATAGGATTTAAGAAAAAATTAACATAAATAGAAGATATATTCATATTATTTTTCATCAAAGAATTCAAATGAACAAGACATGGTGGTCAACAAACCTCTATGGAACCTACCAGCACCAAGTAGAAGGGAGAGGAACCTAGTTTGAGAGAAAACACAACAAAAGCTTTCTTTTAATTTATTTCATCATATTCACACACACATAAGACGTGCACAACAATATTACAAGATTCAAAATAAAATTACAATATTTAAATTCTAATTTCAAAAGGCAAACGGAAGGAGGTAGGTGGTTGGCTACTGAAATGGTGCTTGCATGGAGGCAAATCTTCATATGCATATGCAGTTGGAGGTAGGCGTGGCACTTCATCTTAGACTTAAAACCACCATCTTAGACTTAAAACCACCACCTTTGAGAAATTGATATGGCTACATCTCTTGGCTTGCATGATAGCTTTTGAGTTGACTTTACATGAAAAGGCTGGTTATAACTTCACATGATGTGATGATCATCCAACCTATCTTTCAACTTTTGCAACCAACTCCTCAAAAACTCCAACTTACAAACTTTTAAATTTTAGATTTCAAATTCAAATTTAATACAATGAATTACATTTTTTTAAAATTGATCTTTCACACTACATAATTAGCAAGTCTAAGCACCAAGTCTTAATAGTATTTAGAACATTTGTAGATACTAAATTAATTAACATAATTAATTTTTAATTGGTCTTTTTTAATAACTATTTGTTAACTATATGTTAACCATCCTGTGCATTTTTATAATAAAAAGTAGACAATAAAACCATTAAGCCTTTATCTTGTTGAAATATATTTTCGCATTGAGTCGATTCAAGCCCAACTTGGCTCAATCATGCTCGATCAACTCGGGCAAGCATCGTCAAAGAAAAATTAACTCAAATTGGACCTAAATTTATTCAAATTAAACTTAATTCTACCAAATTAAAGTCAAATTGATCAAACCAACCCAAAATCCGTCCACATCGAACCCATTTGAGCCTCATTGAACAAAATTTGAAGCAATTTGAAGCCGATTCGAGCAAAATTGGCTCGATCGGACACAATCGGACCCGAATCGACCCAAATCGGGTCAAATCAATTCTGATTCAGGTTCCATTTAAGCCCAATTGGACCAATCCAGTTTCAATTAGAATCTATTTGACTTTCTAGCCTGCTTTAATCATTTACCCAAATCAAGAAATCGAATCGGAGGGCTACATTTGAATATGCGACTACTATAGGTATTTTCCTTGCTGTTTTTGGCAGCTGTAGAGGGATATCGCGACAGAAGATCGCATTGGGCAGAGAAGTCTTTGATTTCACCTTTAGGAAGAGTGCGAGGCAAGCCAGGGGGGACATTCGATCTATCTTCATGTGATCAATCGAGCAAGAAAGAGGAAGAGGCCAAGGAGGCGAACCAAAGGCTCCCGTGTGCGAGCCAGTTGAACCGAAGGCTTTCATGTGCGGATCTTACAGGCAAACCGAAGGCTTCCGTGTGCAGCTCATACTTGTCAATGGTGCAAAATAGCACGCGTCGTGGCGCACGGCGCGGCGCGGCGCACCTACGACGCCATGTTCATGGCGAGGCGCATGTGTTTAAAATAGCGCGCGCTATTTGCGCCACATGTGAGCCATGGTGCATGGCGCACGGCACAAAATTGCGTGCCAAATTGTTGCTTCCGCTGAATCGTCCCGCAGAGTAGTGCTTCTGCCAATACCGAGTGATCGATACCACTCGGTATTGATATGTACATGCTCGGTACTACTAGGTACATGCTCGGTACCGCTAAGTACATGCTTGGTAGTGCTATGTACATGCTCGGTACCACTCGGTATTGCTACGTACATGCTCGGTACCGCTCGGTACATGCTCGGTACCGCTAAGTACATGCTCGGTACTGCTATGTACATGCTCGGTACCGCTTGATATTGCTATGTACATGCTCGGTACCGCTTGGTACATGCTCGGTGCTGCTAAGTACATGCTCGGTATTGCTATGTACATGCTCGGTACCGCTCAGTATTGCTATGTGCATGCTCGGTACTGCTCGGTACCTCTAGGTACACGCTCGGTACCGCTGTGTACACGCTCGGTACCGCTATGTACATGATTGTTTTTCATTATTAGGATAGATTGTCTTTCATTTTTAATAATATTTCATATTCATGATTATTATTTTATAATTTTTATTTAGTTTGCGTCATGTTCAAAATGGCGCGCGCCGCGCCGTGCGCTATGCGTCATGGCTCCAAAGGGACCTTTGCGCCATGGTACGTCATTCGCTATTAACAGGTATGGTGCAGCTCTTACAAGCGGACTGAACGTCACATGTGCGGCTCTTCCAGACCGAGTGAAACCCTCCATGCGGGACTCTCCCAAGCGGACCGAAGACCGCATCCAGGTCATGATCCATCCAGGCGTCCCATCCAGGGGTCCGAGCATCTCCATCCGCTGAACCCTCTTAGCCACTAAACCCTCTTGGTCACTAAACCATCTCCGACCGACAATCCTCGTGGCCGCCTCCTTCTACGATCTAAGGAGACTCCCTCTTGTTGTTGTCCCCTCTTTCCTCTTCCAAAATCAAAAAGAAAGGGGTGCCATAGTGAGCCCCTAATACAGCAAAGAGGAGGTTAGAGAGCTTCCTCTCTCTATCTCTAAAGGCATCAAGTCGTTGGGCTTGTGTCCAATGCACTCTATCTTGCATCCAACGCATTCATTTTGTGTCCAACACCTTCATGCACAACAAACCTATGCCTGGTAGTCATCATATCTAGAATTTGGTGGCCATGCATTTGAACAAATAGATCACATGATCGTTTATGGATTAGATTATGCCAAAATTAATATAAAAGAGAATTGTGGGCCTCTTGCTAGTTTCTTCACTCTCAAAATTTTTTAATTTATGAGCTAGAATTATAGCTCATTGTACCATATGATTCCTGATAAAGATATATTATGTCGTTTCAACCAAGTTAGTATGCAATAAATGATATTCGTCAAATGAAAAACTGCCAACAGAAATTTCAAAAAAAATTAAAAGCTAAGCTACATATTTACCCTGGACATTGCTGATACACCAAGCAGGGTATATACAACGTTGGATACTAGTCCCTCACCACTTCTAGACAAAACTTGGATCATTACAGCACTTAGAGATCCTTCACTGATGCATGTCAAAGATTCCAGCAAAGAGGAGAGGCATGTTTCTAGGAAGCCTGTAGGTGCAGGAGAAAAGACTAGTTTCAATGCTTAGAAAACTGGAAGAGAAATGATGCATTAAAGGACATTTATTTCACTACCACAATAATCTGAATTTCAAAATATTCAGATATGCCATGATTCTTTACAAAAAGTTTACGTCAGAATTTGTACCAGTTGACATAGAAAGACCTATCAAAAATGAAAGCATGCACTACTACGAAATTGCAGTTCTTCAAAGGGATTTTAATCAAAACAATCTGTGCATACCAGATACTCTTCACAGAAACTGGATGAGCCATAATAATTAAATGCAAAGATGCAAAGTCATGCTAAAGAATACACTGATAGGAAATACTTGAGTTTGCAAGTCTTCCTAACCAAAACCAGGGAATCTCAACAGCACAATTGCTGTCCACCGCAGGAAATTGAAGAAAAAACAGGAAGAAAACTGAGAAAAACAGTAGAATCTTGTAGGGAAAGGGAAAACTGAGCAAACGCTTTTTATTTCAATGGAAGATGAAAAGCACTTGCAAGATACAAATTTCCTTCAATTCGAGAGGAAGGAAAAACTCTCAAAGATCTCCGGCAACGCCAAGAGCCCAAAACCAAACCCTAGATCTCCAAATTGATTCAAATTCAACATAATCCCCCCCTTTCCTCCTAACCTCCTAATTAACCATAAAGGAGTTTTACAAAATGTCTAAACAGCCCCTCGCATTCAAAATTTCCCTCCCAAAACTCCTCCTTGGCCCCCGTCGGATGTGCTCGTTCCGCTCGGTTCCGCCCGCCCTGTTTGTTTCCGCCTCGAGTAGGTGTGGACCAGTCCGTGTTGGACCGGTCCAGCCGGCTCAAGTGCCGGCCTAACATTACTCCCCTCCCAAAAACTCACCTTGTCCTCAAGGTGAAAGTCAGGGAACTGTTGCCTGACCATCTCATAGGGCTCCCAAGTGGCCTCGTAGTCTGGAAGGCCGCTCCACCTAATCTTCACCTTCTTTTCCCCCTTCTCATTGATGCACACTCCTACCGCTAGAGGCTCCAATGCCACTTCCATGTCCTCCCTCAATGTGCTGGGCCGCTCTGGGCTCACTGCATGCTCCCCCACCACTCTCCTCAACTGTGAGACATGAAAAACGGGGTGTATTCTAGCTGTTGGAGGGAGCCTCAATCTATAGGCCACCACTCCAATTCTCTCATCCACTTCAAAAGGGCGAAAAAACCTTGCTACAAGCTTCTCATTTCTCCTTTGGGCCATAGTCCTCTGCCGGTATGGTCGGAGCTTCAAGTAGACCTTGTCCCCAACTGCAAACTGTATATCTCTCCTTTTGCCGTCCGCCTGCTTCTTCATAAGTTGTTGGGCTCTAAGTAAATTGTGGGCTCCGAAAATTCGGCCCCGGCCTCCCCGCCGCCCTTTTTCTTTTTATTTGAGCGAGGGGAGTTTTAACTGAATAAGTTCCGAGGTAAATTTTGGAATGCAAATGGGTTTGTAGATAAGACACTACCCAGAGATTTCGCCCTCATTTTGTGAGGACTTTATGATCTGAGTTCTGGTTTCCTATAGGCGCAAGCCCCTATAGTTAATTACCCCTCCCGATGACGAGAGAGAACTTTCGATTAAGGCTAGTCGTCAATCAGATACGTAGAGATACGTGTTATCTGGCATATAGTAGCAGCATGGGTTTGAGTATTGGAAACTGGATTAGGATTTGGGTATATTTGATATTTAAAATAGGAAATTGCACCATCTAGCACTTAAAGCTGATGGTGGGGGAATGGATGATGGACCCGATCAAGATCCCATGGTTCCGTCGTCCCGGGCCATCGTGGTCCCTGATCTACTTAGTCAGAGGAGGTAGTCGACCCAACCTGACAGAAGGATCCTTGTCGGCAGCCATGGGTTGCTTCGTCCAAGGGGACCTTGTAGACCGAGGTTAAATGTTTGTCTAAGGGGACAAATTTGAATCCACCTTAGCTAACAGAGGGCTTTGTGCCCTATCGATCATATCCTATTGATTCATATCTCAAGGATTTAACGCCATTAAGGAGCGTATCGGCTCTGGCCATAACCGCTATCTGTGGTGCCATTTGGCGGCAAAACCACTCGGTTAAAAGGGCCCCAGGTGATAACTGTTTATCCTGCGGTGCCATTTGGCGGCAGACCGCCGGTTAGAGGACGCGTACCACGTCCTTACTGGCAAGAGACTGTTTGAGAATGGATCCTAGTGATATTTTCGACTAGGCATTTAGCTTTTTTGTGAGCTGAAGTAAATTTTAATTTGTCCACCTCGACAAACTGTTGCGGAGGGTGGATGAATTTTGCTTTAAGCGTTGAGATGGATAGTTTCATTTTTAAATATTTTTGGAATTTTGAGATTTTGGAGTTTGGATTTTGGCATTTTTTGTGGATATTTTGGGTGGAGTTTGAAAGTATTTGGAATGGACTTTTGGGAGACAATTGAAAGTATTTGGGAATCCCTCCGGTTGAGATCTGCATTCAACACGGCCATCATCAAGGTGTTTGGGTGTCATTTATTTTTATGAATTGAACCTTGTCAACTCTGTCGAGCTGTCGACAGAGGGTCGGGTTTTGTAGGCTTTATGCTCTTGAGAGTGAATTCTTTTGATTTTAGGCTTTGAAGATCTAATATGAATGTATTAAAACAAATATTATGGTCACCACGGCCACATATTTGCTTAATGGTTCGAACCCTGTCGACTCCTATTGATCCATATAGAATGATCGGATTCGAATTTGAATTCACTTATGGACCCGCGCAGCATCCCTAGACGTCACGTGTGTACCAATAACACGCTCGCCGTGGCCCATGCGGGTATTTGATTATATTTACCCCTTTTAGTGTGCCTATGTGTATACAAACTATTGTGCACGTGCAGGGGTATTCTAAAATCATTTGTAGACGCCTTCTGTCTGCTTGTACGGAGGTTGCAGAGGTAGACTGTCGTGCACTACTTATTGATCTTTGTAGGCGGATTATAGTGCACTAACTAATCTCCTGCCTTGGGTTGTAGAAGCTTGCACTTGTCTTATTCTCCATACATTTTGTTGTGGGCTTTGATCTTTTCAGTACATCTGCAACTGTTACATGTAGATAGGTAGATGTCTTCATTTATAGGCTAAAATTGACTTCAGGATACTGCATTTACTGTAGTATTTATGTATCTACACAGGGGTAGCACATTGTACATACATCTATGTCAGTAGAGAGATTGTATGCACTGCAGATCTTTTATCCTTGCTTGCATGTAAATTAGTGCCCTTATTGTATATTTATGTAGATTGCTGGACTGTTATAAAACAATTATCATCTACTAAGTCCTCTTCACATTCCTTGGCATCTTGATTAGCTCGAAGATCTCCCTAAATTCTTTGAGAACTCTATGCTACTGATTGATTCTAATCCCTCTGTTATCCTTTCAACTTGATATCTGTTTGCAAGAAGATCGTTGTATTTGTTGCAATTCTTCTAATATTGCCTATAGGGATGTTATATACATTGCAAATGTAGAAGCTTCTGCCATCATTTGAAGTGCCACGAGCATTAAAATCTACTACATTTGTTACATATTGAATTCTTTTATCCAAGGGGAACTGTTGTATAAATAAGGAGTCTTCTACGGTGACTCGTAGGGACTTCCACATGTACTTATAAAACTACTACATGAAGTGTTGTTGTTTGTAGTAGAATTAATAAACTTGGTTAGAGTTGAACATCATTGACTATGCATAGGTCTTTCTCTTACTTATTGCTTGTGAATGAGATGTAGAAGCTTTTCATGTTGATAACTTCTTGTAAGTCAACCTTCAGATGTATCAATTTCTTTTGTTTGTAAGAGAGCAATGTAATTGTTCATGTGAGTAATATATGCATCGATCACTATCATTCTTTTATGGCTTGCATGATATTCATTATCTTCCACAATCCTCCATAAATATTCATAAGATTCTTATAGCTTCTTATGAATGAATTGTTGTATGCGTAATAGGTTCACATTCTTATTTGTAGGTGCATTATTCTTTCAACCATAAGTCTTCAACATATGTTTTGCATGTGAATGGTCATGATCATTGCATATTCTTTATATATGACTATTGGTAAATCATCAATTTCGTTGAGAAATACTATGTCATTGAATGATGTTCTTTACAATCTTGTAAATGAATGGTGCTCACATTCCTTTGATTCGCAAGCTTTCTTCTATTTCATTTGTATTTAGAGCTCATTGCTTTGCAACTTATGATTCAATTCTAAGCATGATCATGCCTTCTTGCACAAGTTCAAACTCAATTCAAGTCCATTGTTGTTCAAACTCAAATTCTTTGTATTTGTTCATTTGAGTTCAAGTTATGCATAGTCCTTAACATTCCATTTGAAGTTTTGATATCATTTTCAAGTCAAGCTCTTTTCACTTGGTTCAAACCAAGTCCACAAGTCTCAAGTGACTTTGTTCTATTCAAGTTCAAATGCATGTCTACAAGTCCCCTGTAGTTCACTTGAGTTCAAGCTTTGTTCACAAGTCATCTGTTTGAATTCAAGTATCAAACTCAAGTTCGATTGAATTTTGGTTCATTTGAATTTAATCTCTTTGTTCTATTGTTCAAGTCCAAATCAAACTCCCCTGTGGTCCTTCTTGCAAGTTCAAGATTGAGTCTTTGTTCTTTTCAATTTTGAATTTGAATTAACTCTTTTATTAATGCCTTTGGAGTTCAAACAGGTCCAGGTACGAATCTCATTTTTGTCCATTTGATGTGCAAATAAAGTCCAAGTACAGTCCGTCTTCACCCGAAATTTCGGCAGCCTCCCGGCGTCTCCCCCGTTTAGGGGAAAACTACAAAAAACTGGGTCTTTCCCACCACGCTAAGAAAAGCGTGTATGGTAGGTGCCCTCTTTCGGGGACATAGCGACCGTGTATTTTTCGATCCCCCACCACGCTAAGAAAAGCGTGTATGGGTATTTTTTTTGAAAATATTTTTGCAAGAAAAGCATTTTTTTAAAAG